GCCACAAGGTGAGGCGAGGCAGGTGAGGCCTCCCCCGCCCATCCTCCATAGCCTGGCAGTCCAGCTCGGGAGGGGAATGAAACAGAAGAGGCAAGTGGGCAGCTAGCTCATTGAACAGGTGGGAGGAGTAGCTTCGCTGCAGAGGTCCTGAGGTAAGTAGGTGCAGGGTGTGTGGGGCAGCTCCATCCCAGCTGCCTCGCCTTAACTCGCGGCAGCATCGGTGCAACACAAGCTCTCTAGCCCCATTGCAGCAGCAAGCAACCAGATGGTGGGACGTATTGGGCGGGCTCTTAATTAGGGCTTATTTTGGGGGTAGGGCTTGTATTTGGCACAGACCAAAAAATCAGGGTAGGGCTTATTTTCTGGGTGGGTCTTATTTTCAGGGAAACACAGTAGTATACCTCTTTCATTCTGGACAACTTCATCTCATGTTCTAACCCAGTGCCTGAAGCAAGAATCATTTGTGCAGGGCCTTATAGAAGTCTAGCAGGATCAGAGCTATCCAAACATCAGAGAGGGGAAGTGTCCATTTGTCCAAATGTTGTATTAAAATTAACCTGCAGATATTGTTTCCTTACTAAATTTAGTTTTATATTTGTGCAATTCTCTGGATGTATTCAGTTCTATAGCTATTCAATCAAGCTAGAATTAAATTGTTTCACTCTTATTTCCATGGTTTATTGTAATTTTCCCCATGACTTATTTTTTCCCTTAGATTAGGTATATGTAGCTCTTCAATATCTCATCTACTTTTATGACCATAAACAAAAAAGAAAGCAGGGGCTTCTTTTGGCTTTTTTGTTATTATTTAAAACAGATATGAAATATATTCATGAAATAGAACCCTTTTAAACCATTCAAAGGAAAAATTCTGGCCAAACCTGTTTTGTTTCAAGCACCAAACTCTTTTCTCACTCATTTCCCAAATTTCCCAGTCCTAGAATCAATCTGTACTTTGCCTCCTTGCCTGTAAGAAAGAAGATCTGCTGCTGTCACCAAAAAGCCTTACGGGAAGGGGCTTCAAAGAGTTCTGCTGCAGGATAGTTAATGGCCGTTAAACAGTTTCATCCCTATCAGCATGTTTATTTAAAGAAATTTGTATACTGCCCTAACAAGGACTGAATTGCCATTTTAATCTCCTTTAGAGATACTAGTAGTAATACTGGTAATCCTCAACTTACAACCACAATTGAGCTCAAAATTTCTGTTGCAAAGTGAGATAGTTGTTAAGTGAGTTTTGCCCCATTTTATAACCTTACTTGCCACAGTTAAGTGAATCCTTGCAGCTGTTAAGTTAGCAATATTGTTGTTAAGTGAATCTGGCTTCCCCAATGACTTTGCTTGTCACAAGGGTGCAAAAGGTGATCACATGACCCCCGGGACATTGCAACCAACACAAATATGAGTCATTTGACAAGCATCTGAATTTTGATCACTTGACCATAAGATGCTACAATGGTCGTAAAAATAGTCGTAAGTGCTATTACAACTTTTAATGGTTACTAAATGAACTGTTGTATGTCAAGGATTATCTGTACCAATACCAAAACAAGACAAGATTATGACTTAAAAGAGATTATGTAAACCGCATTATTAAGAACCAGCCAGATAATAGCATATCAACACAATTTGGGAATGGGGTATTGATTGGAATACCTATAGAAATTTGAAATGAATTGCCAGAAATAAAATACTTCCTTGAGAAGCAGTTATTAAAAATATACATGTATTACATTTGATGTAAATGTCATAGAGTGCCTTATTCATTTGCTAGATATATAAAGCTACCCAATTCAAACTATGTGATTCTGGGCAGTGTACAGGGGAGCCACCAAAAGCACATGCTTTCTAGATTTAAAAAGTGTCAAGATTTAAAAGAGAAAACCTGAAACATGCCCTCATTATGATAGCATATGTTGCAGTCAGGTATCCTTGGAAGAAGGCAGCACAACAAGTAACCTGTAGGTTTTAAAAGTGATGACCAGATGCATCCAGAACCCTAATGGAAGTCAGTGCAACTCATGGCCTAGTGGTATTATATGGGTGTGATGAGTTGTGCCCATAACTACCTGTGCAGCTGGATTCTGGAAGATTTTCAAGGGCAGCATGTTGGAATAGTCACAAGATGTTGTGCAAACTCACCCGTCTCCAACCCGCCCTGGCTATAGCTACCACCTGCTCTTTAAGTAAGAGCAGTGAGTTCAGAAGAATCCCTGGCTTGCATACCATGTCTGAATGGGGTAGTGTCACCTTATCCAAAACCAAAGATGGAAACGTTCCAACTCCCTGAAATCTGAATCTGAGGACCCCAAACCCTATGAAGATTTAAGCTGCAACCTGTTGTTTCTCATCCAGACACAGGGACAGAAATATTTTGAGCTGAGCAAGAAGGAAATTTCATCATTGGGGTACTTGTGCCATGAGTGTTGTCTGAAATCACAGCAAACTGCTGACAGATGCCTAAGAAAAGCAGCCTGAGTATATTTTAATTTACCAGCCAGCAGAAATTAATTCAGATATGTGATTGATTTCATTCTGTAGTGTTCAGCCAGAAGAGACAACCATGAAATTACATACACAGCTTAAGGCACTAAACACAATTAATATTCTTTGACTGAAAAACTACATGGTCTGCCAATTTCAAATTCTCTTAACTGGAAGCCAAATATGTAAAGTGTCTCTTGAGCATATATCCAAAGTGATCCATTTTTGTGGAAGTTCACATTCATTCGCTCTGGTTCTATACTGTATAACTTCTAAACAGAACTTGACAAGCAAGCCCAGACATGCACAAGCTTCATTGAAAAAAAAAAGATACTGTATGTACATTAATGGAAATAATGGATCATTATTGAGAAAACTGAGTAATTTGCTTTGTTTTCTATAGCATATCTTTAAAATGTTCCACAGATCTACTATAATAGATATCAGTCGATATGAAGTATGCAGGTAATTCCTACAGAATGTGTATTGCTATGATAGGAGAAGACAAAATGAAAAAAGAAATGGAAAAAAAGAGCAAATGAACACTTAAAGAAAAATGCTAAGGCTCAGATAGAGAGATGTCCAATGATGGACAAAGAGAAAAGTGAATGCTATAGAATTTGAGAGGGAAAGGAAACTAATAATGATCTGATAGAAGGAATAAATGACACTCATTTTGTTGAAGCTGACCTGATCTTCCTGGTACTTTGCTTTGCAAAGATTTTTAAAAACTATTAAGAACACAAAAAATAAAAGATTTACATTTAAAATGCACACATATCAAGAAAATCTACTTCCCCAAAACTAGATATAATCTATGGTTTTTGAATGTTTGATTCATATAAAAATATCAAATGAGTTAAATAGGTGAACGCCATTTTATAAAATCAATTGAAAGTAAAGCAAAGTATCATATAACTGAAATATAAGTTTAATATACAATCATAATTGCTGCCTAAAATTCTTGTAACCTTATCTTCACAAAAAGATATACCAAAACTAGAAAAATAGAGAAAAGGGCAATTAATATGAATATTTGAAAAGGGAGAGTAGGAGTAGATGTATAACTACATAGACATAATCTCTTTGGCTGAAAGGCAGTACACTTCTCAATATCACACATCAGGGAACTATTGCAAGGGATTAATTATTACTGAAGGCAATTTAGACTAATCCTTGAAAGCATATTCTGGATCTGAGTATCACTTTGATTTAACTGGTCAAGACTTTTGATATATTCAGGAAGAATTAACAGAGAATTATAGAATAAAAACCTGTAGAGAAAAGAAAATAGTGGGAAAAAGTGTTAAATGCTGTATATAAAGAACAGAGTAGTAACAAATATGTTTTTTTCTGTAATTAATAGCATTCTTTCAGAGTCTTAACAACAATACAGTCAAGTAGTGTTTCCTTGTAATATATAACAATTCTTATCACTATATTAAAAAAATTAAACTTGTGCAACATAGTTTACCAAATTTGACTTGTGCAAATGTTATGACACATACTCTTATTAAAGCAAAATTACTTTAAAGATGAAACAGATACCATGTAAGAATTTTAACTTTGTGTAAGCTTAATTCATACACTATGAATAAGCCAATTTCCTTTAAAGAAAAAGTCAACTTTGGGAAAGTGTAAATGTTACACAATGCAACACAATGCAGTTTGAACCCATTCTATGATAATGTAACAACTCAGCATTTCTTTTGGCTAATATTATCTATTTTTTAAATTAAACATATCATTTTGAATGCATGCCAATTATATTAAAGTATAGCAGAATTTGAACCTTCTCAGACTTAAGAGCTGTAGAAACAGAAAGTATTTTGCTCTGAGAATTCCACACTACCACTAAAATTCTCCAAATATAAGCTTAATTAACTAGACCTTCTAACAGAGAAATTAAAAGAACAGTAATGGTCAGCCTCACAGCCCTTTGATGTGCTATTACTTGAAGATTACTAGATTTCTATTTCTTTCAATCAATAGTAAAGAATTGTAAGATTACATTTTTATCCCTACATGATAGCTTCCATTTATAACTTATAGTATATATTATTAAGGATAGTGCCAAAAGCAGACATTATACTAAAAGAGGGCAAAGCCATTTTCAAAAAAAGATAGACTTTTTTCTCCTCTTGTGTAAAGTAAGCAATTGAAAGGAACATATGATGCACAATCAAGTGACCTTGAGAGTGCATCATTCTCGATTTATGTCGAACGACAAGTGCAAGAAATATTGGCTGCAAAACGGGGAACTCCAAGTTATCAACACAGGTGCAGCAGACAAGGCTAAGGCCCCGAGCTAGAAAAGCTTAGGTATAATTTAAGAGAGAAACAGAGCTCGAGGACAAACCGACATTAAGTTAAACTGGTAGAATTTTAAAAAAATCACTGAAATGAAAAGGCGCCAGCTGCTCCGTGGGGCAGCTTTGCATAATTAAAAGCCACACAGCAGCAGCCCATGCCAGAAACCGAGGGGGAAGCGTCGAGGAAAGAATAAATGGACTCACCTGCCCAGGTGTTCACGTACGAGCCTAGAATCGCCGTGTTGTCCAGCACCCACACCCGGAAGGCAACCACCAACTTAAAAAGCAGACTACAACACTGGTAGCCGACGACCAACACTCCAATCCAATAGTAAAAACCGTAAGGGAAGAACAAAAAAGAAGCCGAAGTCGCCATAGCGTTCCCAACGCAGCACCAATAGATACTACAGTGATGACGGCCCGGCAACACTGAACCCTCCCTAGCCTGTGTCGGACCCTCCCACAGAACAGCCCCGCCTCAAAGAGCAGCTATTGGCTAATTAATATAATGTAGGATTGCTATTGGATATCTATCATGGAACACATGGCTCTAGATCTCGCGGTATTTTCTTTTCAAAAAAAGGCGTAGTTGAGGTAAATTCCCTCACAGACTGGAACAATGGTTCTTAAGTCGCTTCGCACGCCCATGTGGCGAACGCGTCTTCCGGCGTTCTCTGGCTCCTATTGGTAGAGATCTGTGTCATTAACGTGGGGCCTAGTTGTGATTAGAGGGTATAATTATGAACGAGCGGTTACGAAAGAAAATTCATCGCGTGGAGTTAAATGTTGGAACTAGTCGGGGTTCTCTTTCTTTCAGTTGTTTTTAAATCTGCCCTCGTTCTGCCTGTATATAGCCTGTATTATGGGCGTCTTTCTTCGACCCACAGTCGTTCATTGGCCTGACCTTGCTACATATACCCAAGTATCCCAATGTCTAGATATAAACAAGTAGGAAAAGGGAAAAATAAATTTAAATATAAGAAACAAAACAAGGTATTAATAGAATTAGAACAAAGGAGCAGAAAAACAATTTCTATGCAACAGAAATACAATATGTATAGGCATTTCTACAGCTCACTCTTTAGAATAATCTTTGAATGCAGAGCTATATTGTCCAGGTTGCCAGAAAGAGCTTTTTCAAAGGCTGAGAATTGAAACATTTCATTAAACCCGCTAAGATATAACTTCAAGAAAACTATTCACACTCCTTCAAATGTATTATTGCCGGTACACCCCCATGGGTCATATGATCCTATAGAACAGTGGTTCTTAACCTTTTTGAATGAATCGCCCCCTTGAGCCAATGAGGAAGTTGTCATCGCCCCCCTCTCAATCACAACATAGGAAATAATTCTTCAATTTATGCAAGCACTTCTTTTGTTTTCTTTAAAATTGTCATCTGGACATAACGATGCAAATAATTTATTTCCAGTCTTTTTCCCATATCTTAACTGTGTGAAAAATTTTGGTGCCACCTGTCATTTTATTCCCAAACTTTCCTTTTGAAAGCCGCCTTTACTTCACTGTATGAAAAAGTCTCAAAAGTGTCCCCAAAACTTCTCGCTCCATTGCCCCCATATCGCCCCCTTTTTGTTCCTTCGCCCCCACGTCGCCCCTTTTTGTTCCATCGCCCCCCTGAAAAACGAAATCGCCCCCTGGGGGGCAATATTGCCCAGGTTAAGAACCACTGCTATAGAATCCTGCAATCAGGTGACCAGAATTTGCAATATTTTTCTAATTTTTCAGTAGAAAACCCTAATCCTTTTGTTATGCTGAATTCACTAATGACCATGTGATGTCTTATGACTATCACAAAAATGGTCATAAAATCAAGAGTTATGACTGTAGTGACTTACAGCCATAGGCTCCATTGTGGTTGTAAATCAAAAAGTATATGTATATTCTACTAAGGTTCATAAATTCACCTGCTTGCTTTAAATTTATGTTGTTCATGTGTAACCTGCAAGAATTCACTTTTCTGGCACATCTTAGTTATTTAAATTTTCAGATCTACTTGCAATATTCAGTCTTTCAAAATACCTCTGTTATTACAAGCATTCATATATTTATTCCATAAATATTAAACTTCCAACAGGATATCATACATCCTTATCTTGCTTTATGCTCAGTGCTGAAGCATTTGTTAAATATTCCATTTATTTTCACACATGCCTTATTTTCCTGATAATACTGCTCTTACCATATTTGGAATCAATTTTCAATTCAAGCTTACTTATTTTATCATGAACTTTTTCTAAATCAAGAAACATATATTAAATTTTCTTTTTGTATGTTGCTGAATAACCTATGGGATGCAAAACATCTAGCCTACACACATATGGAATTGTATTCAGAGTCTATTTTTCTCCAGCCTGACTCCACATTTAAGCACTATCAGGAAACCATTCCATTGCAGCCTTTATCAATAATTGAGTCTTATTTAGAAAAGCTAATTAATGCAGCAATGGAAAGGTATTTAATAAAAACGGCAACTTGTCAGAGAATATATGGTTGCTGAGGGGAAGAGTACCTGTTCGTACTTGTACAGAATAATTATATGTTTTGCATGTGCTCACCCAAATTGTTTAATCCCTGCAACTGGTTATATGAGTTTAACCTGATTAAATCAAAAATACTTCAGATTTAATGATCAGCGTATTTCCATAGTCTTTTCAGACTCTTCCTAGGCCTATTTATTTAAATAAGGTATCAGGAGTTGAAAAACCAAAAGTATATTTATATTTTTATCTGATTCCTTATCAATAAACCTGACATGGTTTTGATTAGTATTTTAAAATGTTTTTCAAGGTGTAATATTAATTTGATAAGATTTAACAACACAAATGTGGGAGTAATGGGATGTTTATGAGCTTGGGCTTGTTGTTTCCAGAATTTCTCCCTCCCATAGGAATAAAAGGGAGTGGAAATCTTCCCAGGAAAGGTGAGATAAAAAATCTGTGAATCAAGATGTCTATATTTAAACAGCCATTTGTTGCTAGGGTTGCAATATATTATGCATGAATACCTTATTTACCCAGATGATTTGCATGTATTTAATTTCTGTATTTATACTTTCATTTAGCAAGATAAGAATAGGATGTCTCAGTCTGATTACTAGATTTTAAAACTAGGGCTTTTTTTCTCATAGAACGCCCAGAACAGAGTTCCAGCACCTTTTTTGGATGGAAACTTGTAGGGTAGGCAAGGTGGGTTGTATGGCGTGTGTGAGTTCTGGCACTTTTATTTTTTCACCAAAAAAGCACTGTTTAAAGCTGTTCATTTCTGGATGATTATGAATTAATTATATGTCTACTTTATACTGTTATAATTTACATATATGTCTGCTTTGGTTCTTTTCAACTGGTTGTATATGGTGCTTTGTAATAATGTGTGGAATTATTTTAGTTATAAACTGTGGTATAATTAATAAACCTACTCAAAGAGTAAGACTTCAAATCTTAGGGTACCCATCATTTAAATTCATTAGTCCCAGTATATCCTTGTTGAACCAGTGATGATGATTAAATGCTGATCAGATGTGATTGGAAAGAAAAAAAATGAGGGCAGTTCTACTATGGACTAAAAGAAGTGTTAGGGGAAAATGAGTGAATTTGACTTGGAGAATAAAAAGAGTCCTGGTATGGACTTCTGGTTTGCCGCTGTAGCAGCTGCGCACACTGAAAGGCAAGCTTCATCTTCCACGTCCAATTTCGTACCACTGGGGGACCCTGGAAAGGGTCAAAAGTCACCCTATAGGGATGAAAAGCAAGAAGGGGACCCCCGCTTGTTCACGGGAGGGCGGTAGCCCTTTCCTTCGATCCGGGGCAGCCCTTCAAACTGGCGGATGAAAGACCGGCTATAGAAATATGGCCCGTCACTAGGCTGCAGACAGCCGAAGACAAACTTACCACCAGGCACCTATAAACCAGTGCGGATGAGACTGGGTGAGATCTGAATCTCTCTTTAATCCTATTTTTTTCCACCTGTACAAGCTGCCCAAAGTATTTTTTCCCCTATGGAGAGAGGGAAGGGAAAGTCTATCCCACTCCTTTAAAAACAGCGGCAACTGACTCTCCAGGGGAGTTTAAAATGCTGAAAAAATAACCTGATTCTAACTGGATTTCTATCTTTCTAAAATTTGAGGACTAAAAGATTTCTTATTCTTATTGAAGATTTGGGTTTTTACTTACAAAAAAGAAGTAAAATTGGAAAAAGGATTATAAAAACTTTGGACTTAAAAATTAAAAAAATCTTAAACAGTATGGGTGACATCTTGTGGCTAAACCTGATATTATAACTTGTTATTGTCTAAAAGAGACTTGGCTTGAAGCCCAGACTATAAATAAAACTTTTGCAACCTTGGCAGATATCAGCTGTGAGAAGCCCAGCTGTGTTCTATACTGAGTGACAAAATTATTTTCATTCTCTGATTGTAAAGCTTTTAATTTAACACACCAGTAAGAGAACATGGATGAAGATCAGGAACAGATTCTCTTTATGTTGAAAGCAATTTATGAAACTATTCTTACAGCTTCTGATGAAATAAGAAGCTACAGAAAAGAATAAGATGTCAGCCTAGATATATGAAGTGGAAAAATCAAATACTGTGATAGAAGATTCAACTGATCAACACAGTTAACGGAAAACCCAGAAAAGGGACTGACAACACTGAAAATGGAAAAGACTTTCTATGTAAACCAGAAGAAACCTGAGGATCAAGAAGAAGAACAGACCAAAGGGAAGATAAACATTTCAGGACAACTACATCGAGATGGAAAAATAGACAATTTGTTAGCCCTTTAAAAAAAATGGCAACTGAATGGCCTCTTTTATCTCAAACAATATATATAATAATAGAGGAAGATCTATTTGATGATTTAAAAGCACAGATATGGAAGGCGAGTTGGCAAAGAAAGAAAGCTAGAATAAGGCTGAAGAAAATTGGGGTTTTGACTTATTGGTGAGGATTAAAATAGAATATACTCAAATAGACAAGATGTGTACTTTGAATACTAGATTTTGTTATAAACTGAGATAAAGAAAACTTTGGTCATTTAAAACTTGGAAGTATAAATATTAAAAGTTAAATTTGAATATTGATTTGTTTATAAAGGTTGAATGTAAAAGTAATTAAGATATATGTAAGCTAAAAATCTATTGATAAATGTAATAAACATGTTTTTACTTAGCTGATATAATAAGAACTGTACTAGCTTAAATATAAGATAGTAGACATTAAGAGAAAAATAGGAAGTATTTGATATTGAAACAATAGAAATTTTGTTACTAAATTTAAGACATTTGGAAATTAATAGAAAATAAGAATGTTATACTACATTATTAATTAGATGATGTAAGATGGTGAGAAATAGAATATAATCAAATAGATGACGCGTATCCTGAATATTAGACTTTGTGATGAATAGTGATAAAGGGAACTTTGGTTACTTA